CCCCCCAGGATTGCCAGTGCGCCTTGGAAACCATCTTTGATTCATTGCCAGGCGCAGGGAGTCAACTATGGAGTGGCCGGGGATTGCCTCAACAGTTCATGACAAGATGCTCAAGTGGCCTAGTCTGATAGTTTTGTTGATTGATGGACTCCCCGCCTTTTTCTATTCTTCGGGGGTTTGATGCCGGAGATGTATTGTGTATGCAGTGCTTGAACATATGCACTGCACACCTGTGTGTACAATTATAAAGTGCCACAAGCAAGCACAAGTTTTTTGTGTCAATGTCCACTGTCACATGAATCAGACCCAGTAATTATAGCATTAACGCAACCAACTAACACTTGTGGGTGTCGATGTCAATTGACCCGTGGAAAGCCGCTGTAGTTCAGAACTGACCCGAACCCAACGCCTTTTCCGGCACTGTTTCCGAAAGCCTCAGGAGATATCTTTGCATTCAAAAACGTTGGGAACACCTGCCTCCATGCAGCTCAGCACAGGATCATGGCTCTCACTCACAGTGGCTTTCATGGCTTGTACTTTATCCAGCATGTGTTCTTTCCAGGGAGCTTTTGAACATGAGCTAGAGGGCTATATAGGGGAGCTCAGTCGAAGCTTTTCATGGAACAGTTCCTGGTGAGCAGCGGAATCTTGGAAACCGCACAGTTCCAATTGTGTAATGAAAAAGACCCTGTGGAAGCTCAGCCTTTTCTGAGAAACGAGTGAGAGAGCTGAGGCTGAAGGCAGCATGGCAGCTAGCCTGGAGTTCTGCGTTGAGTGGGGCTGCCGCTTCATCCTGGTCTTGGGCCATAGCCCTTGCCTTGATCCTTGGTGAAGCATGTCATCAATTTGTTCAAACCGCAGGATCTTGGAGGGCCACACATAAGCACCACCTGGTTTACCCCCTGCGGAATGTACCGGGAAAGCGCGACTCTCCATACTCATCGCACATCCATGCTCTTTAATGAATGAAGTTTTCTCTAGCCAGGGTGCGGTTCTTTACTCTGCAAACCCTGAAATACATATATACAGTCAGTCCTACCTTCTTCACGAGTCTCAAGTCTCAAAACACCCAGCATCCATAGATTTTGGGGTTCTCCGGGCAAAGGCGACAAAGGTACATGGGTTTCACGAGACCCAGCCCGAATCGAGTTTCGGAGGAATTTGCTGTTCTGATTTGCAATTCGTGCTTGGAACGGACGACCAAGACCTTCAGGCCATAGATGATGCGACCAAGACCTTCTTTGCTCAGAGCCCCACTCGTGGAGCGCCCTGGTGTTGGCGTTTGAAAACGCAACAAAACACTTGTGCACCAGTACATGCCAGCCAAAGACATGGCAAGTCACCGAGTTTTCTATATAGTTGATTTCTCTCTAGACTACTCTTGTGACCGAGTGTTACCTAATGTTACCTATACTATATACGGGGAATTGGGAATTGCATCCACAAATGCATGGGTTTCCAGCACATTTTGGACTGTAAGCTGAAGCTCGAGTTAGGAGGGATATCTATATAGATATAGTGATATATCAAGATGACCTGCTTCTTGATTGAGTCCTGAGTTCTGCAAAAGCTCAAGAGCGGCATTTCTCAATCAACATGTGAACAACACATACGGGAATTGATTGCTTGTGAAGGGCCACTACTCTCCATTGTTTCTAAGATAGAGGCCGATGTCCTATGTCGAAAGATTCCTGTTGCATTTTCATCGGGGGGATGTCACTCACCCAAGCATCATGGAAATTTCCAGTACGTGAGGAGTGCTAAGGTTGGATATACTGTATAACTGTGTATATATATGATTATATATGTACAATATATATATATATATTATAGCTGTTATTTGTACATTGAACATCCTCAACATGCTTTAACAATTAGTTTCAAGCAGAGTTCTGCCAAGATAGATGCTCGATCTGAGACTCGGAGCCTTTTTGTCGCACGGACCGAGCTTTGAGGACCGAGCCTTGAGGAGTTTGATGATTGGTCTTCGTGGTGTGGTGGAAGAAGCCACATCTGCAGCTTCGCGGGATTTGGAAGGTTCATACATTTATATTATTACATATTATATATAATTACGCATCTAACTATAGTATCATATATCATACAGTCACAATCATGAGTTTCTCAAGGGTGACTCAAGGACCGGTTACTAGAAATTCACCTGCGGTCTGATGTATTTTGTGGATTTGTTTGCTTGCTTAGTGACCTGAAGTGATGCTTACATGTTTGCATGGGATGCTGAAATCTTCTGACATTCCTTTTTGGCCCAAGCTAAGCAGTTGATTTTCATTTTGGCAGCTTCACATCTTCCTTTGCTCCAGCCATGGCGGATGCACTCACGACCGCTGGCACGGCCATGTTCGAAGCTTGCCAGCCATCGCAGTTGTTTATAGCAAACTGATAGACAGCCTGGAAAGGGTAATTACATCCCTTCTCCGTAAAGGAACACAGTCTCCTGTGGCCTGTGCTTGACTTGTAGATGTGGATTGAAGCAGATCCCCAGCGTGCTCTCAGTCAGCGCCGCATTTTTGGGGAACTCGTTGGTTAATTGTGTTCACAGCATTTGACAAATAGACTTGTGCACCGAACGAAGAAAAGCATTTCGGCGGTTAAGGACGACGCGGTCATGGCCAAGAAGCTGCCGAGTGCGGTGCTGAAACGCTTCAATGACTGCCTCATCTCTGGAGAGCCCACGCCCGAAGAGGATCAGAAGGCAAACGCGCGGAACTCACGGAACGTGCATTGGGCTGGATCGGGGGTCAACGTGGGTCAACAATCGGTTCTGCCTTTTAGTCGAACTCTGCAAAGTGGGTGACTGTGACTTCTTTTGCTCTTCCACCCCTACATGGAAGTCCTGATGTACATGATTTACACAGGGGCCATGTTTCCAAGATGCGCAGCTCTAAGCCAGAATTCATCTCCATAAAGTCGATCCTTTCCTTCTGTCAGGTCATTGCCGACTGCATCTTCGAGTGGGCTCGTGAGTTGGGCGCCATCGATTTCGCCCATTGGTTCGCTGGCCAGACAGCGGTGCTAAGGGCATTGGTTGTCAGTTTATGGAAGCAGTTTTATGGAATAATCAAGAATCAAGATAGGGTCATACTTGTTTCTACACCTAGAAGCAGCAAAACGGAAGCGAACAACTCTTGTCTGTACTAGAGAAAGGTAGGAGTCTTCATCAGGCTCAAGGGGCATTTGTCAATTTCAACACCCATGACTATTGGTCGTTTGCCCAAACATATGTGTAGGGGGTCCTGACATGTGGCAAACCGCCAACTCAACAGGCCAGCAGCTTTCAAAGACGTTAATTATGCCAGAAGTGTTCGCCTGCTAGATGCCAGAAGTATTAGCCTGTTAGAGGACTATCTCAGTGTTATGCAGATCGATGAACTCCTGAAGTACCAGGAGCGAACAGACACTGGATTGATAGCTAACAGGGACTGGGCACGCACAGTACTGGCCAGTAGTGGAGCATCAAGATGTGCATGACAGTAGCCTGGACATACAACTGTTTTCACAGCTGTTGGTGGAGCTTATCTGGCTAACTATTGATTCGGTCGCCGGTCACTCAGATCCCTCGCATTTTCAGGGCATCCCTATCTCAACCGAGGTTCTTCCCCCTCCGTGGCGGTGGTGGTGCGGTGGGAGGAATGCTTGGAGCCTACAAGAAGGCGGCGGGTGACTGGAGTGACTGCAGGGTGCCTCTCACGGATGTCAACTGCAACCACCGGTGAATTGAGAAGGACGCACCTGGACATCCTATCAGGGTCCTATCATATGATTCAATTGCAGGGCTGGAGTCACTGGAGTCCTCCAATGTTCCCTCCGATCGAATGTAGTTTAGCCATGTTTAGGCGTGTTTGCCATGGTGTTCCCAGGAATGCGAGGTTTGGTTTGGTGCTTGTGATGACAGGATACACTCATTGACCTGGAGTTCGGCTCCAAGCACTTTGGCCTCGATCTGGGGAACTCTGAAGTTTTGGGTGGAGCTGCTGCAGAGCAAGTGTCAAGAACTGATAGAAACTGACATGGTTCAGTTGATGAGGATATGACCATGTATGACCTATTCTTGGGTGGTGAAATATCTCATTTTATGTATAGATAATTATATAATCCTTCTCATTATCCCGGAATCCTTTTAGCATGAAATGCAGATTAACGCCATGTCAAGCACATGTTGACAGTCAGTGTAGTTTGGCAAGGACGCTGAAGCTCCCAGGCAGTCGAGGATATGCACATCATGAGAGCTTGAAAGGGTTCTATGTACACAAGACCGAGACCACTCTTTGCTTGAGAGTCGAAGTGAACAGACAACCGCAGAGTCGAGGTTTGTGACAAAGCCCATGAAGGCAGGGAAGCGAAGGAAACGGGAAAGGAAGGTTTGTGGATTCGGGGCTCAGCCATAACGGAACTCATTTTCTTTGCAGTGGTTTCCCACTGATCGCCGTATAAATCCATTTGGATTCCGATTGGGTACTGTACTCCCACAGATCCCTGACTCGGTACTTTGGTATGATCACTGCATGTATTAGCTACTCCTTTTAGTAAGCATTGTCTTTTTCTCAGTGCTTGATTTCCAGGTACCTGTAAATGCCCTAGACCGAGTGATACTCGCAAGTTTTAGAACTCTATGAATCTATCTCCCAGATTCCCCACAACTACAATACAGATCAATACAGTACAGTATCTCAGTGTTTGAGAGGACTTTCGTTTGTGGCACGAACATACTACTGCAGTGCCGCAGTGCCTCTTTCTCACTTCTGAAGTCTGCCGGAGGCCTGCTTGCCACATGAGCGCTTGTTCCAGGGTGAGACTGACGGCTCATCCTTTCCGAAGCTCGAACACCTGAAGGTTGATCGAGAAAGCTTGAAAAGTAAACAAGCTCGCTAGATTAGGAGTTTTGCTCCTTTGCCTAGATTCACAGTCGTGCTGTTTTGTGCAACGGATGGTTCAGGAACCGCCAACAAACACCCATATGGAAGAAGCCTAAGTGAAAAAACTGCCTGAGTAAAACGGGTAAAATGCAAAGCGGTCTAGCCATCTCTAAGTTCACAAGGCTTCGCAGTTTCAAAGAACCGCGGAAAGCCGGAGCGAAGTGCAAATCTGCCGACCTGAATCATCCTGCAACAGCCTGAAGAACTTTACGAGTGGAAAGTAGTTACAACACTCATAAAAGCAGGTACAGGAAAATGATCAGCCTTCCCCTCCCATCTACGACCGTAGCTTCCTTGCACACGATAGGTCATGTGCCCTCTTAAAATTAGCATGGAAGCGCCAACAAGCTTCGTCTGATTCCAAGGGTACACACGCACACACATTTTAAGGCACCTCCTCGCCGCCTGGCACTTTCCGTCCCTAGAATCTACGAAGAACCAAGGCTTTCACCGGTTTTGAGATGATGGAGCCAAGTGATCGTGCGCGTCAATCCAAGGGACCCTGGTGAGCATACAGGTTTAACCCCGCAAGCAAAGGATCATGTATTTAGGGCATGCTGATGGGTGTGACTCAGACAAATATGATAATATATATAGATTGCAGAGGAAGACCCTGCCAGGCCATTCCCAAGTCTTTGAAGAGATCGTATTGTTCCTTAACCTGTTCAACAATAGTTGCAGATATAGTTACAGTAGGATATGTAATCGTACATGTATATAGACATACAGTATGTAAGCGGTTGACACAGCTCACCGATGCTCAGGTCCTTTGGCCTAAGAGCTGTGGTTCTAAGCTCTACGGTGGACTAGCGACCGTGATAGCAGACCTTCGCTCTTCTTTGATCCAAAGTCGACTGGAGGCGTCACACTGCTGACAGTCGCAATGTTCATTCATTGCATGCCCCCTTCTCCCTCCTAATGCAGTCGAGGCGCTAGATTCACGTAAAAAAAACTTCAACACAACCGAAACAAACCAACCAACACGAGAAAACCAACGAGGAACACGGTCGGATCCCGGTCCGGGACTATTGTGGGTCTTGTATGTTTTGTGTGGTGTCTTGTGGAATGTGATTGTTCTCAAGTGGATCCATGTTCTGCTCTTTTCGCTTCCTTGCTGAAGCCATGTTTATGTCTTGTACTATGCGCCAGTGCTGCTTCATCTTGTAGAACATCTGCAGCTGTCTCTGTTCGTTCTTCGTCAAGGAGTTGGAGAGCTGCGCATCGCTGTGTACCCATCGAATGATGACTCCATTCCTTAGTTGTCCATGCTTGAGGCACATCATTTCTATGTCCACTCTTCTTTCATTGCCCTTAGTACAGATCACCTCAGTCTTCGTCTTATCGAACACGTTTCGAGAGTCCGTGATCAGACATCCGGGGATCCGATTGACCGATTCGTTCACGGCACGGATGCGAACGGTGTGACCGAGCATTTCCGAGAACTGGAATCGAGCGAAAAACAGGGCATCCTCGGCGTTAACCGCCGCAGCCGTTTCACTAGCTCCTGGACTCCTACACACTCTTTGAATTCGAGAGGAGTTCCATGAAATGGGGGAAACAGCTTCACAAGATCCTTTCAAGAGGTCCAAACTAGCAGCTCCTATCAAAAACCCTTGAGTGCTACCACCATCAGTCCGGTTTTGTGCGGCAGCATCACACCACACAAACAGGCCAAAGTGCTTCAAATTCACTTTTGGGATCAACATTTTATGTTCTTTCATGGACTTGACCTGATTCATCAGCTTATTTGCTCGATGCAAGGTTTCGACGGTACTTTGTGAGACTTCTGAAAGAAGCAGACTTGTTTCTGCTGCGAAGTGAGGAGCGGTTTGCTGTGCTAGCCAGCTGACTCCGCCCAGCAGGGTTCTCAGCTGACTTTTCTCCCAGTCATCCGTGGTTCCATGCTTGTCTTGCTTGCGATGAGCTCTAATGTTGATGTATTTCAGGTCTTCGATGTAAGATTCTTGTGACAAGGCATATGTACCGTCTTGGGATCGCTCCACACGAACCCCGCATTGTACAAAGCTGTCCTTTTCCCAGTCTGACCATTTGTATTGCTTTTGTATTGCTGTCAGAATTGACTGCCAACCTGCATGGTCCTCGTTTCCGGAGAAAACAAAATCATCGACGTGTCCCGAGATGAGGCCTTGTAACTCTCCTTGGGAGACATAGGTCCAACAACACGGGTCTGACCAACAACGACGAAGGCCCTGTGCATGAAAGAACTCACTGATCGACCTATACCACTCTAGTGGCGCGTCGACTAAGCCATAGCAGGCTTTTCGGACTCGTGTCAAGGTCTCTGGAGCTAATCCCATTGCTGCCAGAATCTCTGGACATGGAATGCAAAGGAGCTGATCTGGGTATTCACGGGACTGTAGAAAGGCTCCCGTGACATCTCCTTTCCAAGTCTGAAACCCTCTTGCGGCTGCTATGGTCAATTGTACCTGTCGAGTCTGTCGTGTTGTGGTTGGTGAGGTAGTTGCCCTTCCTTCGTATCCAGGATCCTGGTATCCCAGGAGTACCGCACGTGCCTTTGCCTTCTTGCCACCTCCTGGAAGAGCCTTCCAGGTGAGGATCCACCTCATGCGGACAGCATCTTCCTTTCTGCCTCTGTAGCCTGCTGGTAGTGCTTCGAATGCTCTGGCTGCAATAAAGTTGGACACTTCAATTGCTTTGGCTTTAGTGAAGGCCTGTCGGTCTTCTTCTGTCATTCTCTTCTCTGACACCTCAATTGCTCGTTTCTTCATGGCTGAGACCAGGAAGGCACTGAGGTCCTTAATTGCACGTTCTGAGGCTCCTCGGGTTTGAGGCATGTCAATCTCGATGGTGATGGCGGCCGTTGGTTTGTTCCAATAGCTCTCTTCTTCACTAGACAGGTAGGCACTCTCTCGGACCTGTGTAGTCCAGTCAGGGCCTGACTGGAACCCACAGGGTGGTGGTTGGAGTGTGACTCCCTGGTTCATTTCTACGTCCGGCTGTTCTTCCTGGAGCTCTGAGGATCTTCGGAGTCGGCTGCTGGCAGATCCTTCAGGACAAGATGAAACTTCATAGTCGGGAGGCGTAGGCCGTTTCCCTCTCTGCCTCACCGCTGGTTGCCATTCATGTTGTGGATCACCTGCTCTCCTCCATTCCTCTTCAGGTGGTTGTTCTGACCAGTCTTCATAGTCATTTCCACCCAGTTCACCTGCCACTCGTGGGAAGGACCAGGGTTGTGAATCTTCTGCATGGAGTTCATCTAAGATCTTTTCTCGTTCTGAGGCATGTCGGAGCTGCTCTGGGCAACACTTCAACAATCGCCGGCCTCGAACTAACCAGACAGAGGATCCTGCAATTAGATGACCCTGGTCATCTCTCCGGTTTTCTGTAGCAAGGATCCGAGCTGGTCCCACAAACTTTCCGTTGGTCGTCTTGACTGGTTTGGCATCTTTTCCTGTCACCTGTTTCCTCCATATGTAAACCAAGTCACCTGCACTAAAGTCTAGGAGTCTTCTGTGCTTCGAGTTGCTTGCTCTCTGTAGGCGCTGGCTGTTGTTCCAATCCAAAAAGGCCTTCTCTGCAGTGAGTCGAAGTTCTGCTGACTTCTGGTGTTCTGTTATAGGTGTCTCCAATGTGATGTCCGGTGATTGTCCCACCTCTCTGGTAAAGATACGTCCTGTATCATCAGGTGCCCTACCCAAAACATGCTGTATAGGTGAATAGCCCCTGACCACTTCACGATTGTTCAACACTCGCACGCACTCCGACAATGCATCCTCTATGGTGGAATCTGGATGATCTTGGCATACCTTTTGTAGGAGTTCTTTGATGGCTTGGATGCTTCTTTCACAAACCCCCAACTTCCAATGACCTTCCCCCGGAATAATGTCCAGGAAAATTCTCTGTTGGTCACAAAAGTCGGCCAAGCCATGAGAACGAAACGCACCGTCTGGATCGACTCGTAGGTTGAGGGGAATTCCGAAATAAGCGATCCAAGCTTCTTTGAGCACTGAGATGAATTGAGCGGCTGACGGATGTTGTTTCTTTCCCCTAGTGATCACCCGGGACACACGGAAGCGAGAACCCTCGTCCACGAAAACAACGATTTGAACGTGCTCCCCCGACTCCGGGTGGACGAAATGTCCAATGTCTGCCGACAGAGTGGCAAACTTGGTGGGTTGAGGTTCAAGTGCCGAGATGTTCCTGGGCTGCGGACGTGCACGTTCAGTGCACACGGAACAACGGAAGTTTTCAGCTTCTTTAATGATGGTGGAATGAACCCCTCTTCTCTTCAGGGCTTGGACCATGTACTTGATGGGACTGTGTCCGGTGGCGGAGTGCAACAGGTACAACTTCCTACGGATATCCTCTTTCGAAAGGTCACATGGGGCCTCTTCCTGTTGGTCGGAGGCCAAAGCGCCGGGGAGATCGCTTCTGCACATGCCACACTGGAGGGCCGCTCCATGTCTGTGACCCTCTTCACAAACACACTGCAACCCTTTCCCAAACATGTCGCACCCCACAAAACTCCCTCAAACTCTTTTTGGATTTGATCGGGGAAACTACCCTGCAGCAACGCTTCGCACACGCGCTTCGCGAACGGCCGAGTGTAGAACGCTGTCTTCCGAGTCAATGAACCCTCGCATGGAACATGGACCACATGAGACGGACAAACACATGGAAGCTCCATCCTCTTGGCCAAACACTTATTGGTGGTCATCATTTTCCAACCCTTCGAAATGAATTGTCCTTTCGGGTCCTTGAGGTCCACCTGACAACCTCTAGTAATAGCGAAGTACACCTGATAGCGCTTCATGATATGCTGAACCAGAGGCAGGCGCCAAGCCTGGCACGATTGGGCCCACTCCCATGTGCAGTGGATTCCCTTTTGAATGCAATACTGATACACAATTGCCCCTCCAACATACTGCTTCAACACGGTTTTCCGCGTTTCCTCCAAGGCCTGTTGTTGTTCTGGGGTCCTTTGGTTCACATTTTGCATCACAGAGTAGGGGCCACATTCCATGGACAACCACACGTGTTGGGGAGGTTCTTGGTCGATACGGTCGAGGATCGAACGAATACCGTTGTTGGTGCTCAGATCATGGTTCCACAGTGAAAGCCGCTGTGCTGATTTTTCCGAGCCAGTTATATCCTGCATCGTTCTAGTCAAAATACTCTCCTGGCTGCATGCGATTTCCAACAAGATGCACCTATTGTGTGTGGCCAGCGCTTGAATGGTGTCAGGCAACAAGGATTCCGTTTTCTGACTCAAATGCCTACTCATGCCCGGGTTTAAGCGTTTCAAGTCGGCCTGGCCCATCAAGCTAAGGTCTGGCTCTAAATCCACACTAGGTTCCGGACCGCTAAGGTCATCACGGGGCCTCGGGCTCACTGCTGCATCGGCTCCATCACTTCGAAGCTGTGCTCGGTCGGTTCCGAGCTGGTGGACTTCTGGCCCTTGCGAGGCGGCTCGCCCTTCAGGACAGCCATGTCCTCCTTCAGTTCGACCACTGTGGAGGCCAGCATCTGCAAGATCTTCATGGTCTCCGGATCTGAGGACTGGCTCGGCTCCACGTAGCCGGAGGATGTCTTGGATGGTTCGATCATGCCCTTCGGCTTGGTCTTCTCGATAGGCACCTTTCCGGAAGAAGCTGCCGCCTTCCGGGGTGTTGCAATGTCGATCATCTTCTTGCGTTCCTCCAGCCAGTTGGCCAGTCGATGAAGTCGAGGACACGAACCCTCGTTCTCCCAGGAAGTGTCCATCACCCACTGGGCGTAGGAGGGCTGTGTCTGCCACAGCTCCTCGTAGGTCATGCTGGCATGTTTCCCGAATCCGATGGGATCCTGAGGGGATGCCGGAGCTTGCTGATAAACAGCCTCCATTCCTTTTTGCATGAGCGCCTTGACTGTCTCGTTGCCGGTCAAGGGAACTCGGAGCGTGCCGGAGACATACTTGACCAGATCGGCCTTCAGGCGCTGGGCCTTGTTCAGGTCGACCATCATCTGGCGGAGTGGAGTGCGGGACTTCTTGGTCTCCAGTTCTGGCAAGCCCTTCTCCTGGCGCAACTCTGAGAGACGGCCATGAAGTTCGAGCACGGTCCACTCCTTGGGTGGTGTCTCGCCCAAGTCCTTCAGGGCTTGGACAAGCTCTGGCTTCTTCATGCTCGACATTGGCACTGGCGCTGAGTTCGGAGGTGTTGTGATCCTCGCGGCAATGGGCCTCTCGAGCTGGTGCGGCTGCTGCTTGCTTTGCATGTTCATGTGACTCAAGGTCATGAGGTGGTGGTTCAAGTGGTGATTGCCGTGGTGACATGTGTGTGTTGTATGTATGTCCCTTTCCGTTCAACGACGTTTCACAAGACAAATCAAAACTAACATGTTTCTTACACTGACGTGAATCTAACATTGACTGCTCACCCAAGTCTGCAGTTGCAGCGACCTCTCTTTCTCTGGCAGACGGCAGATGAGAGAGGAGTTGTCCCTAGATGAAATCTTTCAAACTGGGCACCGGGCTCCTCACTGCGGTGGAGGCATGGTACCAATCTTGGGTGAGAGGGATCAACTGATGGCCGGAGCTCGATTGCTCCAGCTGAATGATGCGTTCAGGGTCGAGTTTCCTGAAACACACCAAGTCATGTTCAAAATCAATCACTGCGCCTAAAGCGCGCAATGTTTCTACGGAAAATAAAATAGGTCCGGTACCTTTGTCTAAGGTATGGACCTTCAACTGCCCCTGACGGCCGCCGGCCTGGATCGCCATCCATGCTGTGGACAAACACTGGTCTCGGGAAGAATTCCCAAATCCAAACGTTGGACGTTGCTCTGTATCCAGCTTTTCGAGGCCAGGAGTGCCATTCTTCTGTTGGTTCAGGCGCATCAGGGTCTCCAGGGCGGTCACGGAGCCCAACGTACGAGTGGCTCCACCGTCCACCACAGCTTTTCCTTGTTCCATAGCCTGTCGGGTAGTGATCTTTTCTCCCACGCCCACGGCCGCAAAGACCTGGTCGGCCAGGCAAATGAAAGGAGCCTGAGGTTCCTCAGCTTCGCACTCAGATGCGAAGCTCTTGTGCTTCTTTGGGCAGTCCTCAGTCTTGTGACCACCTCCGCAGCTAAGGCATCGAAGGGCACTGCTGTGGGGATTCTCCTGCTTCACGGGTGTAGTGCTCTTCAAGGGATTTCGGCCAGGAGGACCATAGTACTGTCGGCTCAGCTTCACATATTGCTGTCGAGCTCGGGCTTCTCGAAGGGTACGTCTTCCCTTCTCCATCATAGCCATGGCCTCTTGGGCCTCCGACTCGGCTTCACTCACCAATGCCATCCCATCAGCATTGAGTCCGGTGTAGGCCAAGTAGCTCATGTCTGGACTGGCCATGTCCTCTTGAAAAGGATCCTCGGTGGCTTCATCTATGGACCATGCCGAGGCGCGACCTCCTTGATCTCTCTTCCGGAGGTCGTCATCCGTCCACTGGCTCCTCAGTTCCTGGGCCACTCTTGAGAAACTAATATCATTCCTCAGAGCTGCCAGGACCATGTTCTTCTCATTGGTGTCCAGGCCTGAATCTTGGAGGAGGAACCAGCCTTGAACGAAGTCCGGTAGCAACTGCACCCGGGACACGGCTTCGGTCGAGGTGTGCTCAGGACGTGTCGATTGCTTCCATGAGTGATCACTCCACCCATGGTCGGACCAATCCCACCCTTGTGCATCCCAATCTCCCCACGCGTGCCACTGCCATTCCTGCTGATCATGATGCGATGGAGTTCTAGTCCCTGGATCTCCGGCTGCTTCCTGCCCCAATGAGGAGGGGGCAGATGGTTGTTCTTCATAGGCATCATGATACTGCATTTCTTCAGGAGGCTCTGGCACCTGAGAGGCTGATCCCGACTCCGGGATGGATGCCAAGTGGGAGGATGTACTCCTAGGAGCGTAGTAGGTCTGAGCTCGCTGCAAGGTCTGCTCGGTTCGGGAGTAGAGCTCTGCCTTGCGGGTGATGTACTCGTTCATCGACTCATTGCGCTTCCTTCGGCTCTGCTTGAAGTAGCGATTCATGTAATCGCTCATCTCGGACAGTTGAGGTAGGCCGAGGTGCTGTCGAAGGTGGCGCAACAAGGTTTGTACTCCACCGTCATGGGAAAGCCATCCTGGACGCTTGGATAGGATGAAGCGTCTTGCGGTGCCTGAGAGTTCATTCAGGAGCTTGGGGCCGCACAAATATCGCTTGTGGTAGGGGACGGTCTGTTCCCAGTGCTCAGCCAGTTCGCTGTATTCTTGGAACGTGCTCGCAGAGCCGTCCCATTGGGGCACACCTTCTTTGCTGCGTTCAATCGCTGCCATTGCAAAAACAGGGGCTCAAGCACCTGCTGCTACAAAATCTAATCTACTCGGATGCCACTATTGGGCTCCGCTACCATGTAAGCGGTTGACACAGCTCACCGATGCTCAGGTCCTTTGGCCTAAGAGCTGTGGTTCTAAGCTCTACGGTGGACTAGCGACCGTGATAGCAGACCTTCGCTCTTCTTTGATCCAAAGTCGACTGGAGGCGTCACACTGCTGACAGTCGCAATGTTCATTCATTGCACAGTATATATATAGAAGAATCATGAATCATGTAAATATGATATCCATGCACCAGCCGTTCCTCGGTGGCTCCCCAGGAACGGTGGACTGCGGGTGACGCACTCGGCGGCGGCCTTCACCACCTGGGACCGGGCATCCTTTCCCTTCGTGCAGGACAAGTGCGGGATCCCAGCCAGGGTGTACAGCTCGAAGTAAATGGAATAACATTGGTACTAAATACCTCTCTCTATATATAGTTATATATATATATATATTTATCATATATGATATATCCAAGTATCATGTTTTCTTTTTGGAAAGACTGCTCTTAAGGCTCTTAAGGTCTTAACCGGAGAAACATAACACATTCAGCGTTTTTTGGATTTTCCCAGTGTTGGCGATTGGCGATATATAAGTGGCACTTGCACCGACACACTTGAGCGAATCCGCATGGGTAGAGTTCGCCTTGGCAGAGAAGAGATTGAAAGGAAGACAGAGGCAGATCAGCTTGACGGGGTTCCGTAGATTCCATGGAATAGAGAGTTCATCAATGAGTTGGGCATTGAATGAACATTTTTTTGAGCAGCAAGATACAGTGACTGCCTGGAACATTTGTTGCTGCACATGGCAGAAGGAGGCTATAGTTCAACCATTTATGTAGTCTAGTCTAGTTTGCTATTGAGGCAGATCTCATGCATGTTGTGATATTTTTTGCTATGTACTTTCGCACAATTTCAGCTCTTCACCTTATAGTCTCAGCTTTTGTTGTTTATCATGAAAAGCTAGAAACCTGGTCGTTTAGTACCTATATAACTGCTGAAGCTTCCACGGGTGATACTAAACTGAAACTCGAAATTGTCCCAGCCTGGACACCGAACACCATCATCTATGGCACGCAATTTCGAGCCCGGACAACTCCACATTTCTGCTGCCTGTGGCTGATGATTGTGTTCATTTGGTCAAAGGGTTGACCTCGGTGGCTGTTTTAAAATCAACATTTGCAATTGGCACTATAGCGAACCTTTTCGAACAGACCGTCTTGGAAGCTCAACACGCGGCATGAGCAAACATTTGGCAGCCCAAACATCCCCAACCAGATCCGGCTCGACTGGGGTGACCAGGTCGCACCTTCCCCAGTGCATTTCCAATATATTGTAAGGAAAGCGAGCAAATGTGGTATACAGTAAGGGTTTTGATAAAATGACATGTGATACAGAAACATCGCGACATGTTTGCAACCAGGTCCAATGCATGCCATCAGCCAAAAATGTAATGTAAGCCGACACTGGACCGAGTTACGATATATAGGTTTGTTGCGTTCATGCCATGCCACGATCTGCTGAGATGCTTGGTGATTCCATGTGCCTTCGTGACACATTTTGGCAAGTGCCTCTTGGCCTGAGAACCCTTGATTGGGGGCTTCCAGAGGAATGTGTGGTCATACTGTCCACTTCCATGTTGGTTAGGGAATCACCCAACATCAGTGGGATAACCGTGGCGACATTGTGACAGCGAGTGAGTGGGCACTACCGAAAAGACACGAAAGGCACCCGTGGCTGGCTAGCCACGAGTTTGCAAAGAAGGCTTTGCAGGTTGATTTTGAGGTTCTATGATCTAAGAAGTGCATCGCTACTAGGAACAAGTGCATCGCCACAGGACACACTAGGTGATTGGACAACTGATGCTTTTGCCGACGACACGGCACCGGCCGGGGGGGCACACCGACGGTTACGGCAACCCTGTCTGCCCGGAGGCATTGACGAAAAGACTCCGCTGCTGCGTTCCATGGATGCGGTCACTGTGAGTGGATTGCGGCTCTTGAAGCCTTTGCTTGCTTGAGATATGTTCCATTGTTTCTTCTTGCTTTAAAGCCCGTGGACCTGCCTCCTTAATTAAGTAGGCGCCTACTTAATTCAATAATTCTGTAATGGAGTAAAAACGCTACTAGCAATAGGAAGCTCCTACATATGGACGCAGGATAGCCCACGCTTCTTCAAGGAAGCTCCCCCACCTGAGGGGGAGCTTCCTTGAAGAAGCGCTCGTGCTAGTGATTTGGTTCCTAGATTTTGAGGGCACATACTTCCCAAATTCAAATTGAGAGAGACGAGTTGAGTTAGCCTTGATCGCTTGGAAATGAAGAGAGCAAGAGAGCATACTTTTTGGAACACATGTTTGAACAGATGCCTCAAGGGAACCTTCACGTGCCCGATGTTACTCTTCGGCGCTTCGGGAAAAGGAAACCTTTCAAATCCAAGGAAAGCCATTGGCATTGGCACCGATGCCAAGGCCATGTGCAGCCGCCTAGCTGCACGATCCGTAGCTAGCTGCTGACTGTCCGCGTGGACCTACTTTTCCCGTTGAAACCCTATGCACTCCTCAGAAACAGAAGACTGTCCACTTAATTGCACTTCGATGTTGGTTTTTGGGATGCAAACCCGTCCAGCCCGTTTTTGTGGGATGTGGATGACACACGCAGGGATTTGTCGGTAATCGCGATGTGGAGCACGATGGCCTGAATTCTGGGGCTCCAGAAAACGGTCATCCTCTATGGCTGACCTGGGGACCTGGGGACCGGCCAACGCTTGACCAAAAGACAAGCCCTTGCCCCATTCTAAAGACATCTTGGGGTTTTGAGCCTCTGTTTGAAACCACTCTGTTTGAACAATTGAAAGGGTGAGGCTCTTGAAGGATTCAGGTTTACCTTTGACAGTCGACCCATGGCTTCGAGGAAGGGGACCAGGTTTCAGGATGTCATTATTGAGGTGTGTGTGCGTGAATGAGTGAGTTTTATAGGTTTATGATGTTTTATGTTTGATATTATTGCTGAACTTTCACCTTCAGGTGAACAATCCACATGAACACTCAGGCCTTTGGATACCTCGGAAAGTTTTCAATGACCATCATGCAACTGAACCTTCACGGCTTTTTCGATGTTTGGGGACTGGAGTCCGGGGTGCTCGTGGTGCCGGGACGTGCCAGTGCCGTGCAAGTGCCGTGCCTGTGCGCCAGGTTACCTTGGCTGGGAGCAAGAGTTCTTCGTCATCTCTGCCGATCACTACAAAGCTCGGCCTGACCTGGTGAACTGCGGTCGAACATTGTTTGGCAAGCTGCCCACGCGACACCAGCAGGGAGATCTGAACTACTTCCAACCAATTCCAGGCAAAGTGCAAGAGCTTCAGCTGCACTTTTTTTGTCGCTTGGGGATAGTGCTCAGTTGGAAACCCTCCAGGATTGCCACGTTTTCGGTGACACCAAGAGAAGTCAGTAGCACGGGGATTGCCATCAACATCGGGAGGCTTCTTCTTTTTACACTACAAAACTATACAAAACTACGTTAATGCATCAAGTAGCGTTGTATGTATACATTGTATACATAATATTTGTTCTGTAATCATCTCCGTTTGTCTTGGAGGGCCGAACACCAGCAAGTCGAGTGACCAGCCGCTCGTCCGAGGACCTGCTGGACATTGCTCAAGCGGAGATGTTGAAGGTGGGCTGCCCCATGGCGGTGAAGCACAACGAAGTGGCGCCAGGACAACATGAGATGTCTCCGGTCTTCCGAACGGCCAACGTCTCTGGGTTGGGCACAGAGAGCTTTGTTTTTCCTTTAGGACTTCATGACAACAAGTTACACAAGGAATCAAAAGGCGACATGCATTAGCAAGTATATATTTGGGCTTTGTTGGTCACCCAACGGGAAGATTTGACAGTGGAACTTCTAACACAATTTGGTCCATCTAAATTCATGGAATGTGTGCGTGGGGGGATGGGGATGGACACACTTTGGAAATCTTTCGAAGACCTACTATACAACCCTAAAACCAATGGGAAGGGAAGGATTCGCATCGCGAATCTATGTTTTGACCATGGCACGTTTTGTGCTTGGAGCAATGAACTGCACTGTAGTGCAGTGCATCCTTTGTTGCGATGCCTAAACAGGACACAATAGGACTTGTTGAGGCCTTTGTAGGCTTCGCGGTTCGAGGCAGCCATTCAAGTTGCAGGAGCACATGAGTGGACACTTGTGAACGTGGGTTCCATGGATTTGCGAGATTAAGATGTAATCGTATTTAAATAATGTATGTAATGATGGTTTTATTTGGGACTTCTGACAGTCTTTGTGCCTGACAGTCTCAACCTGTCGCAAAACAAGTCTATTGCTCTGAGCCTTCACTATATGCTGCGTGTGCAGGCACCATTGCATTGTCACATACCAGGTGTAATTAGTTCTGTCAAGAGCCGTCCACTTTCAATGGTTTTGCGAGGGTGAACGTATCAGCACTTCACCGCCACGCCGCCACTGTATTGTGATCATCATTTGATCAGCTAAAGCTAAAGACGTCCACATAAAGACTATGAGGGGTTCTGTTCGCGGCCTTCAAGACAAGTGAAGTGCTGGTCTGAATGTTCTGCGCTCTTCAAATTCCACACAAATCGGTACCCCGGCTTGGCTCTGTGTATGGCTTGGCGTCACCGTTTCCGATCACATCCGCTGGATCACATGTCTCAGACTGGAGGTCTCCTGCGACAGCAACGTGCTCTTCATGGAGGTCATGAACCGTGAGGCTCAAAAGCTGGGATTGCAGGCGCCACCGGTGGCGTTGGCCGGGAATCGGGTCGAGCTATCGAACGGAGCCGAGCGATGTCGGCCACAGGGTAGAAGAAGGATACATCTCTCCACCGGGGAGTGTTGCTTGGTAAGGATGTTGTGGCCGCAAGCAACTTGATGCAACTTTCATGGATGGCCTTGAAACAACAAACATCAACCCTCATGATGAATGGTCTTCATTTTGCTTTCTCAGAGATCCCTGTAGCCTGAGCAGGTCTGCATGTTGACACTTCGAAGAATCCTTTGAGGTTCTCTTCCACGAGAAGCCCTTTGCTGGCATCAATGGCAGTGGCAAACATGCCAACTGGTCCATTGGCACCGACACAGGCGCCTGGTCCTGGGTGGTATCTTCTGCCCAGGTATGGCTGTGAGTTGATTCAAAAACTGGTCACCACCAGAAACATTGTTCTTGGAATCTCTATGGGTTATGTATGTTGTTGTACTGGGCAGACCAGGGCATTACTACAGAGTCCTTTCAATTGATTCCAATTATAGATGCGTGAAGAAGGCTAAGTTCACGATTGGATGCTTTTGGCTGCCAAAATGGTTGAACAAAACACTTGACTGCACTAATCACCCCCTCAAATTTCCTGCCATGAGGATGCATGAGGAACCTTCAGCAACCTCTGACGTCTCTTCTCCAAAATAACTTTTGATGCACAGGCATGTATGCTGCTTTTCTTTTTTTGGGCAGACTAATTTGAGAACATGGCGGAGGGCATGCCATCACGCCGATCTGGGGCTACTCCTCCTCAGGCATGAACTTCTTCTACCCTGGCAAGAATGAGGCCGGGTCAATGCTGAGAGGGATCCAGCAAGTATCGAGCCCTGTCGGACTGGCACATGATTTCTTGGGGTGGCTGCTGTTTTAATGGGTTCTACGCTGGAAGCCCCCAAAGCCGTGTTCATCTACAAGATCTACCCACTGTGAATAGGAGTCCCTCTGACCAGCTTGAGAATGCTGGATGTGAAGTGTGGGATTCGCACGGATTCGCTCCGTTCGTAGCATCCTTGCTCCTAGTAATAAGGCCAGGAGCCCCGAACGTAGCGTCCTTGTTCCGTTCGAGTCGCGTCCTGAACCCCCTGCAAGTTCCGATGTTTGGACCGTTTGACCGAGTCATTCGCTTTTCGTTTTGGGCCATTGGGCTTTCCGCCACCCAGGCTGGTGCCAAGCTCTATGTCACAGCCATCGCTTGCCTGGCCTACGGCTTGGCACAGTACAACGAGATGGTCCGCTGCACGGTGGCCTCTGCCGGAAATGACCACCGCTTGGGCGCCCAGGAGGCCCCCCCCCGCCATCATCTCCCTCTATCCAGGCTGGGACGATTGGGCCGAGCAAAAAAAAGCGAACGATTTGAGGAGTCGGAGTGAGGAGCGAACGCTTTGAGGAGGTTCATAGAGGTTCATGATGGTGAAATTGAGTGTCCTGAAGCACGGACGAGGAGGTAAAACCCAAACTCGAGCGACTTGCGGATTCACAACCGGACGAGCGTCTTGCAATTTTTCGTGGTGGAGAGATGGACGGAGGAGCCGGAGCTGAGAGAAAGAGCTTTCAGAAGTTTTGTTCTTTTGGAACCTCCTAGCAGGTCGTAGTCTTGATCATCTCGTTGGACTTGTTCGTAGGATGTGAAACGTGGACGTGGACGTGCTCTTCCCATGGGTTGGGCCCGACACCTCCAGCTCATTCGCGGCGGAGACCCACCCTACCCACATTAACCTTCCCTAGCGCTGTTGGACACTCCGCCGCCCAACGATTTCCAGGGCCAAGTTGTTGGATCCAGCAAGCTGGCGTCGAGTCATTCTTTGTGATACCCACCAAAGTCTCAGATAGTTCTAGTCCTTCTATGACCCACTAGGTGAACTTTGCTCTCTGGCTTGGGGTTCTCTTGGTGGTGTCAGAAGAACTGTGGTACTTTTGGCTTCATATCTTCGGTAGGTCAAGGCTTCGAGCAGTTCATGGAGAGCAACTGGGCATGTTCGGACGAAGTCGAGGCCGGTGCCGGTGACGATGGATAAGGACGAGGAGATACCAGAGATCCACCCAGATCTATATATGAGGGCTAACAGGTTCCATTGTTGGGCTCGCAGACTGTGACATTATGAGCTATATAAAGGGGTTGAGGCCATAGTATCCAAACGCTGTTCAAAAACATAAATTATACAATCCTTTGAAGAGCTATGACTTCTGGGGCCAAGCCTTAGAAGCTATAGGAGGTGATGTGTAACGTTCTGAAGGCCACCAAGTTTATTTGGGGCGTCCAGCGACTCCGTGCTTTTGGTGGTTTCTTGTTGATGAAAGGCCCAACAAATGACAAACATACTATGATAAACTTATGTATATAATATGTATACTGTATATGTAATAATGTCCACATCTCACTGATAAATAAATATGCCCCCCCCCTCCTGCGAGACCTGAAATAGACTTAAATCAGTGACGTGTTTAGTATTGGTAGAAATTTTCATCTAGTATAGAGAAATATCTGAAGAAAGGAATCTATAGAGTCTATAGAGGAAAGGCATCTATTAGAAGAAGGAATCCATCACCTCAGCAGGACTCATTGAGGACCCATTCTATCGGCTCAGCAGGAATCCTCAGCAGGACTCATTGAGGACCCATTCCTTTAGCTCAGCATGAATCCCCACTCTGGAATTAAGACAAAAGGACAATTAGTATTGTGGATATTTTTCTGCCAGCAGAACACATTAGCTGTATTTAGGGTCAGCCATTACTTTGTACTTGGGCCATTCATGAGGGGTACCCTTGCTGAACTGTTTTCATAGGCTTCCTAAAAGCTTTTTCATAATGAATTTTAAACGAAGAACTCTTAAGTTGTTTTGGAGTTTTAGGGGGGTCAGCTAGTTGAGAAGAAGAGTTCATCAATGGGAATGCGATTGGGGTTAAATTAGATTGAGAGCAATTGAGAGCAATGAGATTGAGGCTGGAGCAGTTCTCAAGACATGTTTTAAAGGCTGGATTTGGGATATCCAGGTCCAGGGCTGAAAACAGTTAGCGTTATTTAGGATGTGTTTATAAATCTGTTTTGGGATTTGCTTAGCTTCTATTCAGGGTTACTAATCATATGTCGACATTATGTTATTAGATACGAGGATCCTGGACTGGCTCTAGGGACCAAGAGAATTAAGTGACGATGCCTTGATAAATGGGTCCAAAAAGGCCCTTGACTTGAAATAAACTGGTGCTTGATCAACGAGGCCCACGTCAGTTCAAATGTGTGAAACGGTCAAATTTTGTGCAGTGTTTGACTTTTTGCAGAAGCCCAGCACATTCAACATATTCATTGGGGGGGAAGAGATATTGACTTGCTCAGCCTTTTGTGCTCCCATGTACTCACTAAACTAAACAAATATCCTAAACAATTTCTCATCTCTCATCTAGAGTCGCTCATTTCTAACTCCACATATGCGATGTCCTCACGGCAATTGTTTGGCTCCCAGTGCCACTGCTTGGTGCTGAGGCATCATCTCTGGTGAGGATTTGTTGGGCTACAAGGCGGAAAAGTGGCTTGGCCAACGGGATGCGCCAACCGTTGTGTTCTGAGCACCTCTTCGTACTGTTCCAACGGTTGGAGGGCCCAGCATTGCTGGGGGCCGCACGATATTTTTTGAGACGCAGACACAGTGAAGAGTTTGTTCGGATGATCGCCGGAGAGTAACTCTTAGGATGCCAAGCTGTTCTTCACGCAAGGCATAAAGGAGCCATAGTGCAAATAGTTGTGAATTGGTCCTCGTATGTTTGTCTTGTATCATCGCTTGGAAGCGTAGTCAAAACTGGACAGGTGTTTGAATGCACCTCTTGATGTTCAATCGAGGAAGAAACAGTCGACGGGTTGCAGCGCTGCCATGCACATCGAAGCCCCGGTGGAGGACAGGAATCGTACTGCGCCCTTCCCCTTCTGCGGAAATCGCCGCACGGCAAGGACAATGACACTTCGCCAGGAACGAAACCGCAGACGGGTCGGCAAAGCCACCAAGTCGATCAGTATCCCCAAACAGATCTAATAGCAACAAACCTAATAAATAGCAATGGCCTCGAACCTAAGAGCAATTGCCTCCATCCTAAGAGGGATGGCCTCCAGCCTATTAGCGATGGCGTCGCCTCAAACCTCTTGGTGACGTGTTGTCGGTGAGTTGAAGGTCTGAATGTTGTTGGTGAGATGTTGGGTTTGTCCACTGTGTTTGTCCACCTCAGTTTCTGAGGCTTTGAGTTCCGGGCCGTCGGCTCCTCACAGCGGCTTGGCACCCCAAAGAAACACCAAAAAGCAGGATGTTTTGGTTGAGTGCCTTAAGAATCCTGAAGAATTTCTTGAGAGCCTTGCCCTGTTCATCCTCAACCTCCAAAAGTTTTTTTGCCCAACAATTGGGAAAGGGATGTAAGGGGCTGTCGATTGGAATGCAGCTGGCAACAGCCACTGTATCACTTGCTGCATAATGAGGAATTGCTGCTTCCCAGTGATGGTTTGCAATGCCATCATGTCCGCAGGAGAGGTCGGGCTAGCAGCTAGGGTCCTCAGTTTTGTAAACTAGTCGCATACAACGCAGTTGTCGTTAGGAGGCTTCCTAGTCGGAATTTCTATGTTGGTGTGAGTCAAATCATGTTTACACCCATGGAATAGCTGGTGAGGGTCCATGGGAAGGAATAGAACATAATCTGACAATATCAAAGGCCCGCTTTGGCCCATTGGAGTATTGATGAGTATCGTCGACAAACCATTAAACACTTCCGCCCTTTAGTGGCATCAATGATTTGTCCGTCGGGGTTGGCTCACATGATGTTCAATTTTTTCCAGCTTGCCTCAGGAATTTACATTGACAGTGTTCAAAGCCCAAGTTGGGTCAAAGGTTCTAATGAATCATTATGTTCATTATTTGTTGCTTATTTGACATCCAAAAATTGCAGTGTGGCATTCAGTGCCTTTTTGGGAGTTTTTCCGACACTAGCAGTGGTGCTCCTTGCGCCACGCTGAGAGGAATGGCGCACCTGGCCAGCTTGGTTGAGGGCGGCAAGAGCCATCGAGATGCTGTGGCTGAGATCTTCAAGGAGAACAAGCATCCAAGCTGCATTTGGTGGTGGCTGGTCGATTAGTAGCTGAAGCACTGCATTGCATTCAAGCAATGCTAAACATGGAGGCAGAAAAGAGGCAGCTTCATCGACGCATCACCGTTGATGGACCAAATTGAACTAGCTTGAGAAGCACAACCAAGCGTGTAAAGGTAGCAAAACCAGTACCATTGTTACCATTTCAATATATATATATACTGTATATATATGTATATTATATATATAATATATAAGATAATAGATACACAATCCAATGTACCCGTACCCGTAGCAACTTCTCTCTTCGTAGTAGTCACTATTGGCCCCCCAACTGCTGGACATGCAACTCCATTGAACACGTTTTGGATGATTCGGATGATCGAAGATGGTGAATGGTCACCTTTGGGCTTCCCACCATGGTCACCTTTCAGAGTTAACACCTGATCCGATCCTTCCAATTCACTTCCGAAGCGAGGCACGTGATCTTCACAGGGAATGGCTACTCCTCAGAGTGGCCCATTGAAGCGAGCAAGCGTGGCCTCCCAAACCTCAACACCACGCCCAAGGCCTTCTTTTGGGGCGAGAGCGCGTGTCAGGGGGTGTGGCTGGGTGGCGGGGAAGGAAGGATGGAATGATACTGCGGCAGTTGGAGGAGTAGTCGAGGAAAAGATCTACTATAATTTCAATCATCATTTCATCGTTATTTGGTGGCGGTGACCAGTGAAGAAGCTCGATATTCCGCCCCAAAGCGACAACATATTCCCCTTTTCTTCTCAGTTTTACATGCCGGACTATTTGTCACGGTAGCCTGAATCCAAGTCATGCGATCTTCCGATTTGGGGCGAGATCCAAGTTAGCCAGTTAGCCATAGTTGGAAACATGTATATATTTTCCCCTGTGACAGGGATGTCCGCCCTTCAGGCCATCGCAACTTGGACCTCGGAGAAGAACAAGAAGCTCCTGGAGTCTTTGAAGATCTACACGATGGAGGACAGGTGTGAAGGGGCTTCAGCTGTGGGTGTCGATCTCTCTGGAAGGACCCATGTTCACAGCTAATCATCATCTTGCCGACTCTTGCCTTTAGAATCTTTGGTCTTTTGTTGTATTGCCAGATGCTGGTGACAGGTTGTGGATATGTCAGACATGTCCCCAGTCTTGTGCCCCCGGAGCAGGCAGGTACTGTACACAGGACGTGATATCCAGCTTGCACAGAGCTGAAGATTGCATACGGCGCACCTGCCATCCAGTAATGCCCCTCCCTTGGCTTTGCATTTGACAGGAGACTGAGGCGCGTCAAGAAGTGATGTCACTCGGCTGGAGAGGTAGCGCCCCTGGGTGTGCACATGGCCCATGTAGCTCAAATAGAGAGGCCTCCAAGTTTGACCCCATGGAAGGTTCGGAAAAAGCTTTGGAAAGCCTCTGGTCCGCACCCGTTGAGATGCGGACCGGGTCAGACCCGGAAGTGCGGGTCACTTCTTCCCTCCGGATGAGCGGACCGGGTGTGGACCGTTAAGAACACATTGGTTTGTTCTCATTGAAGTACACACCCACTTTCACTTGGTGCCCTTCACTTTCCGGTCTTTTCAGGGATCTCCCTAAGATCCCCATCGATAATTGTTGAGACGCAGCAACGGAGCGAAGCTCTATCCAAACATGTTGAGATTTCTGAGAAGCCGCGTTTGGATGATGGACATGTTGATCCCAGCGTAGATAACTTGTTTTGCCGCATGTTGTTTCTGAGGAGCTCCGAAATCTTAGAGTCATTACATCTTTTAGAAGGACGCAAACGACACAAGAGGAATGAGAACATCCTGAGACAAGCCCGCCTTACATTCATCTCTGAATTTGTTTGCTCTTCTAGACCTTGCTTGCCTCACCACATAGCTTGATTCAACACTATTGAATAATTACAGATTGTAGAGGCAGGTGTTGACACCTAGCTGAGAGACGGCAAACCTGCTCCCTGGCCAACCTTATGCTGGTATAGAATCCGCCTCCTTTTGATGGCTTCAATGTTTTGTCTTGCTTAAGCCCCGGAGGATTATAAAACTAGACAATCTACGACCCTACCACAATCTACGGCACGCCAATCCCCCGGTCCACGGCCGACCTGCTCGAAGGTATGAGAACTACATTTCCTCCATGTGCTGTGAGGTTCGGCGGGTGAGTCTGGTCGTGGCATGGACGGTCCGTGGTGGTTCGGTCCGGGTCCACACGACTGAAAGGCCGCCCAGTAAGGCCAAGAGTCCAAGAGGAAGACCCAAGACTTACAAGAATTAGGTACAACTAGGTCCAAGTGGCCAAAAGCTGGAGCCCCAACACCACGCAGCTTGATTTTCCAGGTAGGTCAACCAATGGCCAAGGTAAACATAGGTAAACAAGGTATCCTGGTACTGGCTTTGACTCCCGACATGTGGGAGAGTCAATTCCCAGTCCTTGAGGCAGTTGCACGTGACAGGTGGAGACCATGATTCAAATGACCGAGACAGGCATCCTCCCAGCATGCGCCAAGGACTGCAGGATGGCCGCCCTGTCAGAGATAGGTGCAGAATATGTGTAGTATGCAACGATATGCATCGTGTGTTGAAAAGCTCTCATCTCAGTGTCTTTTTGGTTCAGGACTTGGAGAAGTACAAGGGCTTCGACAAGTTGGCGGGCAGCCGCAAGAGTGCTGGGCTCTTGGAGTGGCAGCTGAGGGATTTGTTGGTATATCTGAGACATGCATTTTTGCCACGTAGTTTTTGCCTTATCCGCGTTGCCATGATGCAAAAAGGTATCCCATCTTCCGGCCATGCTGCTCAACCACTGAACAGCTTTGCCGGTCCCGCCATGAAAGGTTCCTAGGTACGAGAAGTGACGGTGTTTGGAGGATCTACTTGCCAGATTGAGCGCAGAAGATGGATGGTCAAACTGGAACCAATGAATCCCTCCAACTAACATGGCAGTGAACAACCATGAAAATCCACCTGTTGTTGGTGGAGGAACGACGTCCTCTTCCCACGTTGGTCATGTTCCATGTGTTGCTTCTGTTGCAAAGAATCGTTGCATCGGCTGCTTGAGTCCCCACCGGTACCGATCAGGCGGAGTCAGGTAAGACCTGATGAGATAAATGACTCGGTCGTGGTGATTTTTTGAGCTGCAAGAAAGATGATCCCAGAGTGGTTCATAGTCTTTCAGGCTTTCTACACTAAGTAAGTAGTGTTTCTTCTTTTCTGAAGATATCCTGGTACCCGATTCTGGTAGACGCCTAGATGTCACCTGCTTACCATGCGGGTGAGATAGTCCAGAGCGATGCACATCGCGATGGTTTCAGGTCTACGAGGCCATCGTGGAGCAGTTGGAGAAGCTGAAAGCCTCCTTCAGCGCCAAGCCCCACAGCTCCCTGACTGAGGAGGCGCACGATCCCTGATGAGGAGACCGCTTGCGGACAAGC